ACACCTAAGAAAAAGCCAGAAAGCAGGAGTTAGGGCTGTACTGTAGTTTGATGGCAGATCTCAGGGTAAGCATGCATGATGGCCTACTGTTTAATCCCCAGCACCATGGCAATCTGAGGGTGGAGGATCACAAACTTGAGGCTGAGTCTCATAAAGCCTGCAGTGTCTTTAACTCGCCAGCTGAGGATGGTTTTGACCTGGTCCTCTTCCTATTACTCCTCTGCTACTGGGATTATAGGCCAGCACCACAATAACATCCTTTGATAGGGAGAGAATCCAGGACTCCATGCAAGGTAGACCAGTGGTCTACCAACTGAGCTATATCCACAATCTTGAAACTGACCTGATTATTAAGAAATTGAAATAAGCAGGCGGTGGCAGGAAATAATCCTAGCAATTCATGAGACAGAGGCAGGCGGATCTCTGTGAGTCTGAGACCAGCCTGGTCTACAAGAGCTAGTTCCAAGTCAGTCAGAGCTACACAGAGAAACCCTGTCTCAAACACACACACACAATTGAAACAATACATTACAGATAAGAACACAGTACTTCATATGCTTGTTTGGTGAAACTCATTTTAACATGTGTACAGACAGGAACAGAAGTCTGGTATGGTGGAGTCGTTATCATTAAGTAACCTCATCACCTGAGACTGAGGCAGGAGGATTGCTTCAAGTCAAGGCCAAACTGGGCTACATAAAGAATTGACAACACACACAACAGAGACCTTGTTTGAAAAAAGGAGTTTGGAGGGGAGCAAAGAGATGGCTCAGAAATTAAGGGCACTGACTGCTCTTCCAGAGAACCAGGGTTCAATTGCCAGCACCCACATGGCAGCTCACAATTGTCTGTAACTCCAATTACAGGGGACCCAACACCCATAGCAAAACAGTAATGCACTTAAAGTTAGAATAAAATTAAAAATCTATAAAGAGCCAGACAGTGGTGGTGCATGCATTTAATGCCAGGCACTTGGGAGGCAGAGGCAGGCGGATCTCTGTGACTTCGAAACCAGCCTGGTCTACAACGCTAGTTCCAGGACAGGCTCCAATGTTAAAGAGAAACGCTGTCTCCAAAAACAAACAAACAAAAAAAGGAGTCTGAAATATCATTCTAAAAGAATGTCAACACTGAACCGGGCGGTGGTGGCACAAGCCTTTAATACCAGCACTCAGGAAGCAGAGGCAAGTGGATCTCTGTGAGTTTGAGGCCAGCCTGGTCTACAAAGTGAGTTCCAGGACGGGCTCCAAAAGCTATATAGAGAAATCTCAAAAACAAAAACAAACAAACAAAAAAAACCCAAAGAATGCCAACACTGGGCATAGTGGTTTATGTTATCACTTCCAGCCTGCCTGGTCTACAGAGTTCCAGGGCATTCACTCACACACACACACACACACACACACACACACACACACACACACACCCAGGACTGTTACACAGACAAAGTAAAGAGAAAACAGAAAAAAAAAATTTGTCAGGAAGGAGCTCATATCTGGTCAAAATAAAGAGTTATCCAAGGCAGGGCTACCTCTCCAGCCCCTTATTTTTAATTTCTTTAGCAAGCCATACAAACACAAGGTGTAATCAATCCTGTTTATTTAGATATGGTCTAACTGTATAGCCCTTGCAGATCTGAAATTCACAAAGTAGACAAGGCTAATCTTGAATTCAAAAATCAGCCTGCCACTGCCACCACAGGTGGCAGAATCCTATGTTACACTCCAAAAAAAAAAAAAAAAAAAAAAAAAGTAAAAACCTTAGTAAAATTTTCCTTTTTATCCAAAGACAGAAAGGCTAATTAATCTACGCCAGAGGAAAAAGAGGACTGGGATTCACCTATTAAAGACCTCACCTCTGCCACACTGTTAGCTATCAACCTGCTAAAACATCTGGAAATAAGCTCTAGAGCAAGACTTTAGTTGTCACTTTTGGTATTGTTTTAAAACTGAAACATTAAAACAAAAAAGCAGAGCAGCAGTGGTGCTCACCTCTAGGCCAGCACCTGGGAGGCACAGGCAGGGGTTGTCTAAGTTCAAGGCCAGTATGGCCTACTCCACACAAAGCAAGTTCCAGGACAGGCAGAAACCTCTCTGAGCGCGGCTGCTCCCTGGAGAGGGATGCCTGAGAAGGCTGAACTCTGGAGCTGAAGTCTGCAGCTGCATTATTAGCATAAGGAGGTAACCAGTTATAAAATGTTTGTCAAAGTACCCGTTAGTGTGGAAATGTTTATTCATTACAAATTTACCACAATCGGGCAGGCCTGATAGCATAGGCTTAAAAGCACTCCAGGTGGGGAACAGGAAGATCTCTTCGTTTGAAGCCAGCCTGGGATACATAGTTTCTAAAAAAACAAAACACAAAACTAAGCTGAAATCATCAGTCTCACATAAGATATTGGAAAGTATTTTCATTTCCCTTCTTGCTTTTTTTTTTTTTAAAGGGTTTTCAAGACAAAATCTCACTATGTAGTTCTGGCTGTCCTGGAATTTACTCTGTAGACCAAGGTTGGCCTGAAGCTCACGGAGATCTGCCTGCTTCTGCCTCTCAAGTGCTGGAATTAAAGGTGTTCAAACTAAGCCAGGCTGAAAAGCATTTTTTTTTTTTAAATAACAAGTGTACCTCAAAAGTTATTCATTGTGTTGTTTTGGTTTTTGGAGACAGGGTTTCTCTGTAGTTTTAGAGCCTGTCCTGGAACTAGCTCTTGTAGAGCAGGCTGGCCTCAAACTCGGAGATCTGCCTGCCTCTGCCTCCTGAGTGCTGGGATTAAGTCCGGTATTTTAATATTTCCTCTTGACTCAAAATAAATCAACAGACAGCTGGTAAATGAAAATTACAAATCTGTCCAGATCGTCTGGGAAGCGTGAGCATTATCAACACCCGAGAGACTGCAGATAAAATAAAAAGCAAGAAATAATGACCTAAGAGACAGGGGAGCCTCCTGTCACCAATATCCTAAATATTTCCCAACTAAAGCAGCAGGACATCATCAAGTGAACAGCAGAAAGAGGGGCTTAGGAGACCTTGAATGTTAAAAGATCATTAGAAGAAACTGTTCCTCAGAACTGAATGGTGGTGGCAGTGGACACCTTCAATCCCAGCTCTCAGGAGACAGAAGCAGGCAGATGTCCATGTGTTCTAGGCCGGCCTATTCTACTAAGTGAGTTCCAGCTCGGCCACTGCTGTTACACAGAGAAATCCTGTCTCAAGAAACTTCAAATAAATAGCAGGGTGGTGGTGGTTCACACCTTTAATCTCAGCACTTGGGAGGCAGAGGCAAGTGGACCTCTGTGAGATCGAGGCCAGACTGGTTTACCAAGTGAGTTCCAGAGAAACCCTGTCTCGAAAAAACAAAAATAAATAAATAAATAAATAAATAAATAAAATAAAAAAGCCATCAAAGAGACTCTGATTAAAGAATTGGAGACATGGCTGATGGTGAGAAGTCAATGACTGGAAACAAAAAACAAATGAGTCCATTTTTTTTATTAACCTTTTCATTATTTCATTAACCCCTCAAATATCAGACATACAACAGGCCTCTACACCACTGTGTCCATAGAAACAACACTTTGATTTGCAACCCTCAAAAACCTTCTCTGTGGCCACAAATACAGATGTGTCCCTCCTAACCAGTGGTAGTGTTAAGTCTTTTTTTGTAATGCTGTCCATTACAGTACTTACGTATCCATTTCACGCATAAATTTTAAATACCCCACATTAAAAGTTTTCAAAAACCAAAGCCTCCCCTCTAAGTTCTTCAAAATATCAAGTGCTGAGTGGGACGTACCGAAAAGAGTAAGGAAAATGACAAACTCAGGGGCACAAGGAAACATATGCTTTTGTTAAGGTGATTTATGGAATGAATGCCTCCGTTATAGGAGTCACTGTAGATGAAATATGCGGCCCATGACTCCATCCAGGGGTAAGAGCTCTCTCTCTCAGGGACAGTCCACATACAGGCTGCAGGGTTGGCCCATGGATTAAACCTGCAGACTCCAGACTGCCTGTAGGCCTATCGCGCGCTCAGGGCTCATAGGCTCAGAGAGACGCAACTCAGGCGGGAAAAACCCGCCTCCGCCATTCCGAGACCCATGAGCCGCTCGGTAGGCAGCTATGGAAGACCCGATTGGCCTCGACACCCGCCAGTCTAACGCTCCGGTGGCGCAGCTCGAAAGAACCCGCAAGGATTAAAACATCCCGCCCCCAGTCCTCCGATTGGCTGTCCCGACCCTCCGCGGCCCCTTCCCTGTCGCTCCCTCCCGCCCCAGGCCTGCGATCCATTCATTTCGTACATAACGAGTGCAATTGGAGCGGGTCCAAGACCTCGTACGTGTAATCGAGACTCTCTGGCACTTACCCGGGATCTACAGTGATCACTCACACTAAGGCCTGCGCGGGTCCTCTATGGGAAAGCTGCACCACAAGCCACCGCTACCGCCGCCTTCTGCGCAACGCCAACCGCCCGCCAAAACGGATCCCTCCCTGCGCCTGCGCAACTAATCCTTTTTTTTTTTTTTTCCTCCGCCCAAGACGCCTGCGCAAAACAGGACGCGTCTCCCGCCACTACGCAGGCGCCTCAGGTTCACACGGCTCTCCCGCCCGCCATTTCACGTGCTTCAGTAGGCAAGCGGAACTTCTTAGTGCGCCGACGGAAACGCGCCATTTTATTACACATGCGCCCTATGGGTGGTGGCCGAAAAAGCGGTAGCGAACTACTTTATTAACGTATCCTGTTTTGCCAATTGAGTTTGTAATGTGAAGTCGCTGGGAAATTATAAAAAACATTTAAAGACCTGGGCACATTCAAATATAAATGACTGGTTAGCTAGCCAATCGCTCCGGTTAGAAATGAGACCCGGAGGGGCGGAGACTGCGTAGAACGCCCAAACGGATGCAGCCTCTTAGCAGGGCGGTGACACAGGCCAATAGTGGGAGGGAAGAATTTCAAGTGTCCAATCAAAGGGAGGCAAGGGCGGAGTCTGCCAATGCCGACTGCGAGGAGGCGGGATAAAAGGGCGAGCAGAAGGTAGGCTGGCGGATACGTGCGCTGGCTTACTCCTTTCTGCCTACTGACGCGGCCGAGGAAGCATCGCTGAGGGCTCTCGTTTCCCTGCCGTCATGTCCAAGTCAGAGGTGAGCTGTGCGCGCTCTGCCGCTTCCTTCCATATTTAATGAATGTGGTGGGATGCGGACCTGTCTTTGTCGTTGGCACCGTCTTTCGGTGTTTGATCGGTCGTTACCGAGGCCTACCCACAAAAGTGTAGGTCGCCATTTTGTCTTCGTAATCGCCATGAGGCTGCCGTCCGCTAATCACTAGTTTTCGTATGCTGTGCTTGTAGCAGAATCCGTAGACCATAGATCTTGAGGGTTTTGGTTCTTTTTTCCTCTTTCTTTTGGCTTTGTCTAATAAATAGCCATTAAGTGTTAACGGCCCCATGTCTTTTGTTGCGCGTGCCTACAGAGTAGGGACGCATGCGCTGCCTGCTGGTTCTCCAGCACCTCCTGGCCCAAGGAGGAGCACGTGGTCCTGCGCAGTGATAGAGAACAATAAAAAAGTGCCGCCTGGGTTGGTGCGTGGAGTGGATTTCATTCGCCCCAAGTTGCAACCCCTTCACTACCCGCTCTCCTTTCCTCACTTTAGTCTCCCAAGGAGCCGGAACAGCTGCGAAAGCTCTTCATTGGAGGGCTGAGCTTCGAAACAACCGACGAGAGTCTGAGGAGCCATTTTGAGCAATGGGGAACACTCACGGACTGCGTGGTAAGAATAAAAGGAAGGGAAGGCAGAGCTGGTTTAACTTTAATGTTTAATCTTGCTGCGTTTTCTAGATGTTTTGTTAATTACCTAATTAGTGGTATAGCTTAAAAAACTTTAGTTTGGGGCCTTTGTATATGCGTCTAGATAAAGTTTTGTGCTGGCTATTCACAGTAGGAATGGCATCAGGTCCCGAGATCAGGCGGTATGTTGATTGTTGTTTGAATTAACTCCAAATCAGGTCATGAGAGATCCAAACACCAAACGATCCAGGGGCTTTGGGTTTGTTACTTACGCCACTGTGGAGGAAGTGGATGCCGCTATGAATGCAAGGCCCCATAAGGTGGATGGAAGAGTTGTGGAACCTAAGAGAGCTGTGTCAAGAGAGGTGAGGTTTTTATTACTAATGGTGCTCGGTTTACATTTCAAATCTGTATACCTCAAAGCAGGGAGATTTTCCCCCTCCCTCTAGGTTGCTGGGATTAAAGGCGTGGGCCACCACAGCTGCCAGTCATTTGGAGATTTGTGGCTGCTGGTGGCTTAAGGCCATTGGAATATTCTAAATGGCTGAAGTGATTTTTCTTCCCTCTTAGGATTCTCAGAGACCAGGTGCCCACTTAACCGTGAAGAAGATCTTTGTTGGTGGTATTAAAGAAGACACGGAGGAACACCACCTGAGAGACTATTTTGAGCAGTATGGGAAAATTGAAGTGATTGAAATCATGACTGACAGAGGCAGTGGAAAAAAGAGAGGTTTTGCTTTTGTCACCTTTGATGACCATGACTCTGTGGACAAGATTGTTATTCAGAAATACCATACTGTGAACGGGCACAACTGTGAAGTAAGAAAAGCCCTATCCAAGCAGGAGATGGCTAGTGCTTCGTCCAGCCAAAGAGGTATGTAGTTGCTTAGTTAAATTTACAGATGCTAATTGAGTGGCAAGTTGGCTTAATGTAGTGATCTAAACGTCTCTTAAGGTCGAAGTGGTTCTGGAAACTTTGGTGGTGGTCGTGGAGGCGGTTTTGGCGGCAATGACAATTTTGGTCGAGGGGGAAACTTCAGTGGTCGTGGTATGTATTTAAATATTTTTAATCCCCATACATGCACACCGGTTTTCTTTGTAGCCCAGGCTGATCGTGAACTCCCAGATCTACTTGCCTCTGCCACCCTAGTTGTTTTTTATTTAATTGCTTTTGGAGTACAGAGTAGTTTAAGGGTTTGGTTTCTTTCAGGTGGCTTCGGTGGCAGCCGTGGTGGTGGTGGATATGGTGGCAGTGGGGATGGCTATAATGGATTTGGTAATGATGGTAAGTTTCTTAAGGATTCTGTAAGTAAAATCTTTTGGCAAGCTATATACCTTTAGTCTAGGCTAGTAGAGACTAAACCTAGTGCATGACAAAGTTCAACCAGCCCCATAATATGCATGCTGTGAGCAGGCCATTGCGTAGGTTTTTATTGTTAAATACTTTTGTCTTATTGAGAAGGCTTGTATTCTTGTAGGTGGTTATGGAGGAGGCGGCCCTGGTTACTCTGGAGGAAGCAGAGGCTATGGAAGTGGTGGACAGGGTTATGGAAACCAGGGCAGTGGCTATGGCGGGAGTGGCAGCTATGACAGCTATAACAACGGCGGAGGCGGCTTTGGCGGTGGTAGTGGTAGGTATCCAGTGCTGCAGGTACTTGGTGTGAAAGCTAGATTAGCCGTAGAGTTTAGACCCGTGTTGGACTTGAGCTCTTAAAGCCTTGTGGGAACACTGCATGACACGTTAAAGTAGGCTTGCTGTGCTACCTCCTCCTGGCTTTAAGCTGGGGCCGCCTCCCCAAAAAAACTAAGTAGGTGGATGAGTGGTTAGTGGTATCTTTAACTTAAGATAATTAGATTAACGCCATAGTTGGATTTAGCATCTAAATCCCTTTGGGACTTCAGGAACTTAGTTGATATATCCAAGAAATCTCTGCATTGGCTGTGAATACTTGAAGGCCTTCAAGTCTAATGTGATGTAAGTACCACTAAGAAAATCTCAGTTTTCCATTAGTTAGGTTCCTTTAAATGCTGGATTATTAACCGAATGCCTTACTCGGAATGAACTGTGAGGGTTTGGAGTTAGCAGTGTTGGAAGAAGGAAAGCATAATATTTCAGGACTCTAAATAGAAATGGCTCTATCCTTGGGTCATCAATGAAGACCTTCTTCTCGTTTCCAGGAAGCAATTTCGGAGGTGGTGGAAGCTACAATGATTTTGGCAATTACAACAATCAGTCTTCAAATTTTGGACCAATGAAAGGAGGAAACTTTGGAGGCAGAAGCTCTGGCCCTTATGGTGGTGGAGGCCAGTACTTTGCTAAACCACGAAATCAAGGTATAGTATATATGATACGGCAACAGATGGGTAATTATTAAATTTGCCCTTCCTATCAACCAGGAGAAATCCTGTAACCCTTATTGGATCGTTTTACCAGATCTTTTACTGAGTTTATCTATGCTGTTAGTGCAAAATCATTGCTATTGCGACAATATTGTTTTTACACTTCCAGGTGGCTATGGTGGTTCCAGCAGCAGCAGCAGCTATGGCAGTGGCAGGAGGTTCTAATTACAGCCAGGTAAGTGCCTATTTTGTGTGTGTTGACTTAATTTTATTGAGCCCAGTAGCCTAATGTAGCTGTGCAGTGCAAATAGTTAACATTATAATTGGCAGTAAAATGGTGGATGTTAAGTTAATATACAGTTCAGCGGAATTGTGGGAAACAACTTGCTCTATTGGATTGTAGCCTTAAGTCTTAATGTGTTTTAGATTAACAACTTTATTCCATATTGTTCAACAGGAAACAAAGCTTAGCAGGAGAGGAGAGCCAGAGAAGTGACAGGGAAGCTACAGGTTACAACAAATTTGTGAACTCAGCCAAGCACAGTGGTGGCAGGGCCTAGCTGCTACAAAGAAGACATGTTTTAGACAATACTCATGTGTATGGGCAAAAAAAACTCGAGGACTGTATTTGTGACTAATTGTATAACAGGCTATTTTAGTTTCTGTTCTGTGGAAAGTGTAAAGCATTCCAACAAAGGGTTTACTGTAGACCTCTTCTCACCCATGCTGTTGATTGCTAAATGTAATAGTCTGATCATGACACTGAATAAATGTCTTTTTCTTTTTTTTTTTTTCTTTTTTTTTTCCTTTTTAAATGTGTTGTTTAAAGTTAGTCTACTCTGAAGCCATCTTGGTAAACTTCTCCAACAGTGTGAAGTTAGAATTCCTTTCAGGGTGGTGCCAAGTTCCATTTGGAATTTCTTTGATTGCTTGGGTGTGGAAGCCATTGTCTTCAAAAACTTTGGTGTGGTTAAACTGCCAGTTATTGTGACTCTGAGTTCACCATTAAGGATCATCATCCAAGCAAGGTTACAATTTGGTTATAAAATGGTTATTGGCACACCCTATGCAATATCAAAATTGAATAATGGTATCAGATAAAATAACAGATGGGAATGAAGCTTGTGTATCATCCGTTATCATGTGTAATCAATAAACGATTTTAATTCTCTTGAATGGAATGACAACTGTATGGATTTGAGACTGGCAGAGATTTGGACTTTCCCTACCCACAATACCCCTGGTAAATGTTGATTGTTTGTTATCGCAGTGCAAGTTCAAAGCTCTGCCAGAGTAGAAACCAATTGCTGGTTAAGGCCACAGATTAGAAGTGTTGGGGCATCTTAAAACTGATTATAGTAAGGGCTCTTAACTGCCTTAAGACAGGCTATAGTGAAGGAAAACTGCAGTTCAATTGGGTTGTTGTGGGTGGGTATGCCTCAAGGTCTTCTATGGGTAATTTAGTTACTTAAATTTGAATTAGAAATACGTAATTGGTGATATTTCTGTGTATTTTTGTATTAACAGCAGTTTTCCTTCACACTGTTATCCTGAAATGTTTTCTATTTGTATAGAAAATGAATTCAAAACAGTTACTGCCCAATAATTGTTATTTGTGCATAGATTATTTCGAGCTTACCATTTGGTGCCCTTTTAAGTGCCATTGTACCTGGCAGCATAGATAATTTGTTTGCCATAGGACTTGTATATTCCATCTCATGGTGTATTACTTGGAAGTTTTGGGAGGGGGGAGGGGTGGGTGGGGGTGGGGAACATGGGTGGTAGTTCCGTGATACTGGTTGAGTTTGCAATAGCAGGTGGAACCTTAACTATTGAGGGAGTTTGCAGATACCTCAGGAATCGTGACAATGCCTTTAAAGATCCAGGAGATGTTCAGCTACTAGGAACTGCTAGCAAGTATAGCGCGAATGGCTTCGAGCTCAGAAAATCTACAGCTGAGAGTAGACACTTGTGGTATGTGGAGTACAGATAAGCCAGGGGCAGGCCACGGCACCTCCATGAAAGCTAGGAGGGAGTGAAGTTTGAGAGATCATCGCAAGGAAGGAGGCAGACGAGAGTAAGGCACACACCTGACTCTTAGGACTAGCAGGCAGAACCAGAAGGAAAGGTTTTATTGCTATGCTGGTAGGTAAGAACAGATTTTACTTACATCCATATAGTTGTAAAAGTCCAATTTTCTGTTGGATTTCTTAATGTATTGAGCCAAACTAGTCCAGTTAAGCTGCACTTGGTTTTTCTGGAGATGAATTGTTTTAATTAATGCCCATATACTCCTACTTGGAGGAAATGAACACATTTATTTCTCTTGTGAAAATACATTTTGGCCCTTTAATTTTATTTAACCTTCCTTTGACCCATTTTCTTAAAGCAATGGCTCAAAGTAATATTAGACACTTTTCCCCAAAATGGTGGGAGGATGGGTGGATCATTAGGGGAGGGGGTGGGGAATAGCTTAAGGATGGGAATCCGGCCTCACAAAAACTAGTTCTAAAGTTTGTTTACTTTTCTAGGAAGGAATCTGCTACAAGGTTTAACCACTGTTGTAAAATTTTTAGAAAGACTTCAAGTTCCTGCATAAAGGTAGGTTTTTATGGTTGGTGATTTACTACCTAAAAGTTAAGTCAAGCTGCAGTTAAAAACTAAGAGATACCTGGTTACTTTGTGGCTGGCAGTTATTAGACCAACAACAGAGTATCAACTGGGGTGGGTAGACGATTGTGGGATCCAGCAGTGTTGTGTTGAGCTACATAACGTCTCTTCCTCCCTTACAGGAACAGCCTTTACTCTGGGCCGCTGTGCTTCATTTTTACTGCCGTGCAGTTGGAACTTTAACTATGCTCTAATCATTCAGTTTTGTGAATGCCTCTGGTTTTTAAATAAACAGCAGTTAATTAACTTGGTAATGTTTTTTGTTTCCCTGTGGCATTTATGGCGGGTGGCTTGATCTGTATTCTATGCAAATTCCAAATAAGCTTGAATTTTTAGCAGGACAAGTCTGAATCATTTCTAACTCAGGTTTCTTTGGCCCTTAAGTTACATTTTGGGTGCCTGTGTATTGATGCATTGTGAGTTCATGTATGAGGGAGTAGACTGGTCACCAAATGTCCCTGAGAACCTAGCAAGAATAAATTGACCATCTCTGCTTGGGTGGGTAAGGGAGTTGTGTTGTGAGGAACCCAAAGCATGAAGGGAAATGCAGAGATAATAGTAGTTGTGCTCGGGGTAGATACAGAAGTTGATGTGCAGCCAGAGACCCATATAGGATTTTGATTTTTTTCTTGGGGTGGGGCACTTCTGGAGACTGTCCTTGGCTGGCCTTAATCATACTTACAGATAATGTAGTACCTGTAGATAACATGTAGAGATTTATGGCAGTCCTTTACCTCTTAGGACTGGGAGCATAATATGCTTGGGCCACTATTCTTATTCATACTGCTTTTTTGTGAGCTTCTATAGAAAGTATTGCTAGGCCAAAAGTTGACACACAAATCCCAGATTAGAAGAGGTCTGCAAACATGAAGGTTTCTGTATCCTTCATCACTCGGATCTCATTCTCTGTTTTTCCTCTTAGGATAGAGGCAGTAAATGAACAGGCTACATCTAAAATCCTCCAAGTATAATCCCAATAATGTGATTGGGAAAAAACAGCCAAAGAAATTGTGCTTTTAGATTTGATAGGCATACATCTGCCTGCCTCTGCCTTTCTAGTGCTGGGATTAAAGGTGTGCCACTAGTGCCCAGCTTTGTTTAAGACAATATCTTTGCCTGGCCTAGAGTCTGCCTTTATCCTGAGAGCAGTTTTTCCAAAAGAAAGACAAGGTGGATTTTTTTTTTTCCCCGAGACAGGGTTTCTCTGTAGCTTTTGGTTCCTGTCCTGGAACTAGCTCTAGTAGACCAGGCTGAGCTCGAACTCACAGATCCACCTGCCTCTGCCTCCCGAGTGCTGGGATTAAAGGCATGCACCACCACTACCCTGCTTGACAAAGTGGATCTTGAGCTGGAGTTGTGCAGCACACCAGCAAGGTGTCGAGAAGAGGGAGCTCAAGGTCATTTTCCACAAAACAGGTGTCTGTGGGACCTTGCCCACCTTAAGAGTTAACCCTGTACAGTTCCCAGCACTCCAATTCTGACCTCCATAAGTTTCCGCATGAATATAATATATGCATTCAATCATACACAAAAAGGTGGGGTGGGCTGGATATGGTGGTACACAATCTCTGCACTTTGGAGACAGGCAAATGGAACTTAAGAGTTGGTAGCTGTCTTGGTCTACATAATGATACCCTGTTTCAAATCTAGAAGGGTGGAAATGAGCCCCTGGCATGAGTTGGATAGCTTTTGTCTCAACCAGGGATTACCTCATCACTTACCTAGCATTCTGGAGGCTCAGTGCACAGCCTTTAAAAGGCTGCACAGGAGTACACACTTGACTGGAATATTTCATCTCATTCTAGTCAAGAACAGTCAGTCCCCTTGGTCAGACCCAGGATGATAGGTAATCAGGAGAAAAGTAGGGATTTGTGTTTGCATGTGCTCCAGAGACTGGGAGCAGACTTTACACAGAAGATGCAGCCCTGTTTGATAACTCTTGTCATTTGTAAATTGGAGGCCACCAAGGACTGTGGAGTTCCTCAAAACATCCATGGCGTCTGGTTGGAGGTGTGAAGGGGGGGGGGGGGCTCATGCCCACATTCTGTGCTTCAAATGAGCTCAGGATTCCTTAACAGCTCTGGCAGCCTCAAGGAAGACACAATAGAAACCTTATCTCCACACAGCTCTTTTATGGACCAATTAGACAAGAGGTAGAGGCATGGTGGGACCACTCCCTGGCTTCCAAGTAAACCTCACCAAACATACCTTGGAACATCCAAATGCTAAGGTTACACCTGCCCTCTTGGTCGGAGAACTCTTCCTGGTCCTGAGGTTGGGAAATACCTAGGGGAGGGCCTAGCACCACTGTTGGTCTTCTCTAGGCCCACTCAATCTGAGGCCTCTGTCTTTGTCCCACGGGGTACCAGAAAGATGGCCCCATCAGCAGCCTGTTGGAGTACATATTCCTCGGGTGAATAGCTGTTGCCAGATTCATCCCGAAGATGCTGGAAAATGTCGTGGTACAGCTCTGCCAGCTGTTGCCGCATGACCTCCAGAGTACGGTCGGCTTCTCCTCGTGCTCTAAGAAGCCGCTCTCTCTCACTGCCCAGCCGCTCCAGCTCCCGCTCTAACTGCACAATGGTTTCCAGTTTTCTCTTGCGACAATTCTGGGCTGCCACCTTGTTCTTGCCCCGCCGTCGAATGTCCCGTACTAGAGCCAGCTGGCTCTCTGTTAACGGATACTGTGCCAACAATTCATTAAAGTCATCTACAGGCAAGTTGACGATCTTGTCCGTAGGGAAGGGAATCTTCATGGCCAGTGCCCGCCGCTCATCCCGACTGCCCACCTCCCCCCTGACAGTAGGCTTAGCCCGCACAGGGCCAGAGGATGACTCTAAGGCCAAGGGTATCTCTGTGGGTGGCAAAGTATAGTTTGGGTGGGCCAAGGAACTGGGCATATGGGAGTAAGGGTACTCTACTGGGTACATGTCCACATACTCATTCCTCCGTCTGCCAGCCTCTGCGCCCTCTAGCTCAAGAGATTCTGCATCACTGTAGTTGAGGGATAATCCCGAGTCGGATTCTGGGTCTTCTTGGGGCTTGGGTGGCCCCACTGGCAGCCCAATGTCTAGAAGAGCTAAGGGGTCTGGGAGGGGCTCGTTCAGCAGGCCTGAAAGAGTGAGGGGCTTTGATACTGGGATAGCCATGTTGCCATAGGAGTATGGGAGGTCTGGGACAGGGGGAGTGGATGTTGGGAGCTCATAAGATGGGGGAGGTAGGGAGAAGCCTGTATCCGGGTGAACTGAACAGGGGCAGTATGTTGGAGGTGGCAGCGGTCCAGAGTATGGGGTGGGTACTTGGGGCTCAAAGGATGACTCACTTGGAACATTTAGACCCTGCAAAGAAAGATATAAAAAAAAAAAAAAGGTTAGAGGATGGACTGAGATGGGTGGTAGTGGTGCACACCGTTAATCCCAGCACTCAGGCAGAGGCATGTCAATCTTCCAAATCCCAGGATACCCTGATATACAAAGCAAGTTCCAGGGCAGCTTGCTGGCACAGAGGCACAGGCTTATAATACCACCATTTGAGATGTGGAAACAGGAGGGTCAGGAGTTACGGTCAGTCTTGGCTACATAGCAAGGCTGTGTGAGACCCCATTTCAAAAAAATCAAGAGTGGGACTGAAGGGCTGGCTAATTGGTTAAGAGCAGTAGCTTCTCTGCAAGAGGTGGCAGCTTATACCCGTCTATAACTCCATTTTTAGGAGATCCAACACCTTCACACAGACACACATGCATGCAAAACACAAATGGACATGAAATAAAAATAAATAAAATCAAGAGGTCCTAATCCTGGCCGGGTGGTGGTGGCACGCGCCTTTAATCCCAGCACTCGGGAGGCGGAGGCAGGCGGATCTCTGTGAGTTCGAGACCAGCCTGGTCTACAGAGCTAGTTCCAGGACAGGCTCCAAAGCCACAGAGAAACCCTGTCTCGAAAAACCAAAAAAAAAAAAAAGAGCTAGTTCCAGGACAGGCTTCAAAAGGACAGGCTTCAAAGCTACAGAGAAACCCTGTCTTGAAAAACCAAAAGAAAAAAGAAAAAAAAAAAAAAAAAAGAGGTCCTAATCCAAGCACTCAGAGGGCAGGAGCAAGTGTTGGTCTTGAATATTGCAAACTCCAGGGCTACCTAGTGAGTCCCTGTCTGGGATAAAGAGACGAGGCATGGTGGCACACATCTTTAATCTCAGCACTAGAGAGGCAGAGGCAGCCAGGTCTCGAGTTCAGGGCCACGCTGCTCTACAGAATGAGTTCCTGGACAGTAAGGGTTACACAGAGAAGCCCTGTCTCAGGAAAAAGGAAGAAAAAGAAAAAAGAAAAAGGGAGGATGAGGAGGAAGAGCAATTTCAGCAGGAATAAAAGTCTCTGGTGAGACCTCAGAGGAGATCTCTGAGTGTTACAGAGCCTCCTCCTCACTGGGCCAAAAAGCTCCTGGTCCTTTACTCTCTTCAAAAAGTTAAAACCAGGCTTTTTCAGACGCAGGCCAGCTGGCCTTGGTGAGTTCCCGATAGGACATCCCCATTGTCTCAGTGTGTGGGTACCCCCCTCGCAGTCCTGAGACTGCTCGAGCTCTCCTTGTGCTCCTGATTTGGACCTTGAGATTTCAGTTCGGTGCTCCGCTGAACATAGCGGACAATGAGGACTACTGAGACCCCAAGAACAATGGCAATGGGTTTTTGATTCTACTGGACCTATTGGTTTCGTGGGAGCCTAGGCAGTTTCGTGGATGCTCACCTTACTAGACCTGGATGGAGGTGGGTGGTCCTTGGACTTCCCACAGGGCAGGGAACCCTGATTGCTCTTGGGGGGGACGGGGGGGGGGAACGTGGTGGGGGGGGGGGGGATGGAAAGGGGAGGCGGCGGTGGGGAAGAAACAGAAATCTTTAATTAATTAATAAAGAAATAAATTTAAAAAAAAGTTAAAACCATTGTTATCCAAGATGGACCCTCAGAACCCTTTTCCTGCTGTGGTTATCTAGGGTCAAAGGGTCAAGTTCAGGGCCGCACCATTCTCTGGGTGTCCAGCAGAGGGAGCTGGTGTATGGGAGGAGGGTCTAGGGCAGATCCTGAGGACACCAGGCCTGAGGTGGGGGGGCAGGCACAGAGCCCAGGTTGGGGTTAGCCCTCTGTCCAGGCCCAGGTGCAGTGAGAAGAACACATGTTACAAACAAGGCCCCCAGCTTATGGAGGAGAGCTATCCAAGCCCAGCTGAGGACAAAGGCGTCATTGTTAGACCAACAGACATCTCTTTGTCCAGCATTCAGGAGAGGACCCCAGCATAGTCTGAGTCCCCTTTCTGAGGCCCTTTAACTAAAGTTCTGCTACCTGGAGGAAAAGAGCTCGTTGCTAAGGGTGAGGGGTGGTAATGAGGGAAGACGGGCGGTGCTGGAAGAGAGGCAGGTGAGATGAGAAGAAAATAGAGAGAGACAGAGAAGAGGGCAGCGAAGGGTGAACCGCAGCTGGGCATGAGCCCACACCCCAGCCAGATCCTTCCCTTCACACCCCACCCCATGTCCCTCATTGTCCCCCTCTACTCTCTGTTTCTGCAGTGCCCGCCCCACACTTACCTGCAGCTCAGTAATGGACATGATCTCTTGCCAAGTCAGTTCCATCTCACACAGCTCCCCAACAGGCAGCTGTGACAACCTGTTCCTGTTCTGCTGGGGAGGACACGGGGGCATCCTACTGTGCCAGCTGCTGGCCCTGGTTCCCCCAAAGTTCAAAGAGCTCCAGCAACCTGTGTGGAAGAAAGAAAGAGTTAGAGCTGCTTCTGCCAGATCGAAAGTTTGTTCTGTCCCTGTGCAGAATTTCCGAAAGAAAGCAGCAATGTCAGTAGTTCACTCTTGCAGGCCCATCAGCCATCCCGCGAACTGCAAAGTTTTTGTTTTTTTGTTTTTTCTGAGAAAGTTTCTCTGTGAAACAGTCCTGGCTCTACTGAAATTCACTTTGTAGTGAATCCTAGCCTCGAACTCAAAGCCTCTCTAGTGCTGGGATTAAAGGCAGCGCTACCACCACCCAACTGTAAAGTTCTTTTCTGTGGCATACTCTCTACCTCACCTGCTCTGGCCAGAGTCTTCTGGGTACACAGTAGGCATCTTTACTTTTTCCCAGACAAGATGTCTTCTCTTACTCCCTAGAAATGGTGTTCTTGTTCAGAGATAAAGATCCAGTCTTCTGAGGTTTTGAGATTGAGGTTTAGTTTTCCATTCTGGAGGAAAACATCAAGATCACCCATGCCTTCCTTTTGGGTCCTCAGTTTTGTTGTTTGAAACAGGGTCTCACTATGTAACCCTGGCTGTCCTGGAACTCACTCTGTAGTCCAGGCTGGCCTCCAATTCACAGAGACCCACCTGTCTCTGCCTTCTGAGTGCTGGGAGTAGAAGAGTGAGGAGCCATGCCAGGCATTTCAGTCCTTTCCTTTCTTCCCAAGATGTGAGAGAGGCCTTGGGGATGCCCAGGGCCTGTGTTGTGGGAAGCACAGGCAGACAGCCCCTCCCCTTGTCTTAGATAGGCCCAGGCCTGCTGGTGATAGCAGCCCTGCCCTTTACTCCCATCCTTACTCTGGGCTCCCCTGCCTGGGCCAGATAAGAGGTTTATCAGCAGCAGGCAGCAGCGGGCAGCAGAGGCAGAGGAGGAATGGGCTCCAGGAGAAACTAGACCTCTACCCTGTATCCCAACCAGGTCATTTGACCATGCCCCCCCCCCCATATGACCGTGGTTCCTTTCTCTTCCAAGGTCAACACACAACAAGACTTAGCAAGCACTTGTCAAGAATTGTGCTGGCATTTTATAAGCACAGTATATCAGACTGGGCTTCATAAAGACTGTGCAAGAGGTAGGAGGCAGGCACTGAAGCCTATGCTGATAAGTGGCAGGTTAGAACCTGATCATATCCCTTGCTGCTTTCTAGGCCTCTTTAGTTCCCTAGATGCAAGCTGTCCACAACCCATACCTCTATGGGCAGTCTACCTCAGCAAATTCCCATGATATCTCAGACCCTTTTCTCTTCTGGGAAATGTCTTCTTGGGCTCTCAAGTACTGCCAATCCTTCAGTCCCTCTTCTTTTAATCTGGGCTCTAGCTTCAGTTCTGCTACAAAGCAGCAGTGTAGTAGTTGGGCAAGTCACCTTACTGCTCCTGGTCTGTGCTCCCAATTGTAAAGCCAGGGAGTTTGACAACTGGAAGAATTCCTTGCTGCTGGGACAGTTCTCTTCCAACTCTCACCCTGGCTTTCATCATCTCCTCTTGGTCCATGCCTCTCTTCACCTCCATACTCCCCATTACCCATCTCTATCTGAATCCGTTCCTTCTGTGTCCAACAGTAAATTCCAAGTAGAGTTGGCAAGGTTCTCCTGATCTCTCGGGGCACAGCATGTCCACGCATGCACATCCACACTACACAAGAATAGAGGCTGGGGCTGGATGACTTCGAGTTGTATTGTATAATTTTACATCACCCGCCACAAGAATAAATAGCCCATTCCTGCTTTTCATTATAGAAACCCCTTTTGGACCTATCACAAAATGTATAGAGCTACTACCAAGTGTCTTTTTCACAGCTGATCTGCCTGAGGCCCAGCCTCCACCCTCTGCCAGAATGCCATCCTCAGAAATGGGAGTTGGTATAGGCACAGGTCTTTGACCAGTGGGTAGAATGGGTGGGGTGTTTATGTCTGTCCAGGCCAGGGTGCCATTTCAACACCGGAACTCCACCCTCCCCACCCAGGTTCTGGCGGAAATTGCCCAAAGACAGGGTGAATGAAGAAGGACTTTGGGGTGGGCAGGGACCACGACTATTGCTTCACAGTTCCTCACCCGCTCTACCCCTCTGTCTCTCCTTTCTGCCTGCCTCTGAATCTGAGGAGCAACACAAAGATCTTACCCTAGAAGGCAAGGTTCTCTACTCTTCTAGATGCATGACCTTGAACAAATTGTGTCACAGTCTCCAGGCAAATGAAGGCAGGACTAGAGAACTCACTGCTTACTATACCAGCGAAGCTATAAACCTTACTGTGCAGCACATGCATCTGGGGTATGTGGAAACATTCCTGAAGGTCATCCAGGAATTGAACAAGCATTTCAACAAATGTCCAAGACATTTTCACACAAAGGCCAATCTTGCCTCAAGAAACACAGAATTTGCAAGAGAGAACACAAAGTTAGAAGGGAACTGCAAATGCCCTATAGTCTCCACCTAACTGCAGACCCCAGGCAAGGCTAGACTCCAGGGGGCACCTAGCTATCAGTCCTTTCCAACGAAGACCTGGAGGTGGCTCTCCTCTCTGTAGTTGGGCTTCTAAAACAGAGAGAGGGTAGAGGGGGCATGAAGAGGCGGAGGAAATCACTGGACCATCACTTGCACCAGGCACAGGCCCTTTGGGTCTTGGAAGCCTGCCTTTCAGAGGACCAGCAAACTTGCAGCCACTAGGAGAGACCAGGAGTCAAACATGTTCAAATAGAACACCAAAGAGGGTACTGAAAAGAGACAAGGAATGTGGGCTAGGCTTCAAGGGGCCCTTGTTTTTAGCAAAAGCAGCTCTTGTTTTACAGTTTAGCCCTCATCTTCAGGTCGTACAATAACTGAATCCACTGGGCTGGTTAGTCTCTTTAGTCTTCAGCAGTGTGGGTCAGGTAGAATTTGAACCAACCTCAGAAACTAACGTCCATCCAGCCTTCCCCTTTCATCCTGGTGGTCCTACCCACTTTCCTCTTTCTTCCCCCTTCTCTCTTCCTCCCTCCCCCTCCTCTTCCCCTTCCTCCTGGCCTCTCTCCAGATCACTCCAGAATTTTGACTATGCCCAGCCATCACTCTACCACTAAGATACATCCCTAGAATTCTCCAAAGATCATGATCCCTAAGACTTCACAGACTATAAACTTTCTGATGAAGGATTCGGGATCATTTGGAGAAGGAGGGAGGGGAAGACATTTTATCTTTCACTGCTAGCCCAGGACTTTTAACTTCTTTGATAGGGAGCTTGCCCCAGGGTGCTTTATGGAGGTTACTCCTCCTCTCCTCCTGTCAACACAAACAGTGCAAGGATTGGAGAGATACAGTAAATGTGGTGTGTAAATTAGCAGGTAAGCAACCTAGTTACAAAGATTAGAGGATATTTCCCAAGGGAGAGGCACACAGGTGAAAGCGAGAAATCAGTAGAATGAAGAGGGAAGAAAAAACTGATTTGAGCCAAGCAAGCTTAGTCCCCTGGACACGTACATGGCTCACATGATGCTGGGAACAAATTTCTGCTCTCCTGTGACTTTATCCCTAGAATTCAAACTCTGGCTCTTTAGAAGCAATGGATAAAGGCTGCATCCAGCAGATCTGGTAGCTCTGTCTCCCACAGCATCTCAACCTGCAGCTACAAGCAGCCAAGACTTCCCACAGAAGCTTCTACACTCGGTTGGACACTCTCCTCTTGGCAGATCCAGCTTACCTCCACTGACCCAGGACTGGAGAGGAAGGGAAGCAACCAGCAAGAACTCAGCTCCTCTCAGGCAACCACCCCACCTCTGCTGTAGCAAGGCTTCTCACAAGTTCACATATCCAATATCTACAGTTCCTATGTTTGCCACAAACGCAAATCTCAGTGGGGAGGGGGACATGGTGGCACCATATTACTGAAGCCTACTAGCTCCCCTCGACCGACAACAGGCCAATGGAAGAATTCCTTCTAGTTACTCCCCTGTTCCTCCAGGGTGCCTCGACCTACCCTCAACCTCCTACCCCAAGGATCCCAAACAGACAGAAATCCATCCAAAGTTATCATCAGTTTCCTACACCAACGCCAATCTAGGAAGATGTCTTAGGAACGTTCAGACAGAAAGTTAAGTATTCCTCCTTGTATCTTCTCCACCTGCCCAGCCTCCCTCCTCAGATGCCACTGAGGGCTCCCTCCCCCTACTCGCCTTTCAGGCACCTGTGGCGGATTCCAAGACGGGCAGGAGAGAGATGAGGCTGCGGGTACTGTCCCTGGGAGGCTGGGTCAGAGCTGACACCTCCAGGGCGCTGAGCGCTGCCTCTGAGCGCCGCCAAGGGCCGAGCCCCGCCCCCGGACCATGGCTGAGCAAGGAACACCGGTTAGCCCCTGTAGAAGCTGGTACACCGGCGGAGGTCTCTCCGAAGCCCTCGGCCTGAGTTAGCAGTTCTTCCAGTTCTTCGTCCAACCCTTCCCTTTCCCCGTGGCCCTCCTCTCCTTCTGCCCCTTCTGGCCAAGACAGGAAACTTGAGCCCGGTGTGGTTTCTGCCTACACCCCGCCCCCCCCNCCCCCCCCCCCCCGCCTCTCTAGGGCCACGGGGGCACCCGGGGCTCACATACTCCCGGCTGTCTCCAACAGGTCTAGGACTGTGAGCTCCCTGTCCGGGCTGACTTCCCAGCCGATGGCTCCACTCACAAGTGACCCCTAAGTTTAATACAGTCATCAGCCTCCTCCTTTTCCCAGGTGGTGGTTCTTAATGACAGATAGGGAAACTGAGTAAGGCAGAGGGCAGCAGACAGTGAGGATCAAGTTTCTGAGTCCAGTTTGCTTAGGGCAACAACCTTCACTTCTAGAAAGCGTGGGCTCTAAGAGAGTTATTTTGGGGATGAGGGACTGCTGGCTGCCTCGAGGGACCCTTTAATGTGCAGCCTGCCTCTCCCTAGCCGCAGATGCTCTCGGACAAAGGCTTCTTTTTCCGCCACATTTATTTATTTAATGCCAGTGTTTATGGAGATTTTGGGGGAGGGGTTCTTAGGCGCGAGACTGTCCTTTTGGGTGATCATTAGTCTCCCTAAAAGGGATCCTTCTTTCCTCCAGGCCAGGACACATCAAATTCATCTCCAAATCCACAACAGCTTTGTCTCAGGCTTGTGTATCCTCCCCAAATTCTCTCGTCCTTCTGCCTCCAAGTCACAAGACAAGTAGTTCTCTCTAGAAGGAAAATCTGCCTTCCTCCCAGGGTTAGAAGTTTTCAGCTGTTTTGTGATAGGGTCTTTGAGCTGGGATAGCCATGGCCAGCCCAAAACTGGCTTTGTGGCCAAGGACTTTGCTCTCCTAATTGTTCTGCCTTCACGTCCAAAGTACTGGAATTGTAGGCATGCTCGCTGTGCCCACTTCACTGACTTTCATCTCAAAGGAACACGCCTTTTTGGTCTAACTTCACTTCTGATTGGTGCAGCTTACACTTTTTATCTGTCGTTTTCCTCGCTGATATTCAAATTAATTTAGAAACATTTACAGAGCAGAAGTAAGCTGGCTGTTTGACAAAAGATCTACAACCCTAGTACTTAGGAGAGGGAAGGAAGGAGATCAGCAGTTCAAGGTCACCCTTGGCTGCGTGGGACTCTGTCTCTGAAAACACACACACAATAATAATAAATAATTAGGGAACAGATGAGTGTACCTCAAGACAGTGCTATCTCCGCTCCTTCTGAAAGGATTGTGCTTGCTATTAGAATAATGAGACTATTCTGACCG